TTGAGAGTTTAGGGTTTAGGGTTTTTCGGAATGCTACTTCTGCCTGTGCCTTGCTTGTGGTTCGGTCCAACAGATGAAAGCCTGAAGCCCTAAACCACCTAAGTTCTCCCTCCTAGCCTCCGCGGGACGTCAGCATCCCTTACTACAGTCCTTTAACGAACTCTTTCGGCAACCCTAAACCTTAAACCCTAAACCCTAAACCCTAACACCACTCTGACTTGTCGACCCCTAAAGATCCCTTCAAGACGCCAAAAGTAGCCTCCGAGTAATTTCTATTGACATCACCAGAACCAAAAAACCATAAACCCTACATAGCCTATTCCCTTAACCCTCATCCCCGTATTAACATCCTTTAGGATTGTATTTGCCTATTTCTTTTCATGTATATTAGACCCTAAGCCCTTATAGGCCCTCCTCAGCCCTTAAACCCTAAGCCGTGAATAGGCGCTAAGGCGGTTTGCTGCAGAGGCCCAAACAATTATCAAGCCTGTTTAAGCGCTTCTTTACTATAATTCTAGTAGAATATACACCAAAGCCCTATTTATAAAGGAGCACAGAACCCTATTCTAATCGCTTTGTAAGGCCCTGTAGTAACCACAAAATACAGTTGATGATGCCCATCCTGCATTACCCTTCATATACCTTTATTCCCATAGTTTAGGGTCCTTAAGGTAATGCAGGGCTTATGTCGTCAGCAGTATGCCTCCGAGGAACTTCAGCATCCAGGAGGCCCAGTGCGCTCGCCTCGAAGACCGAGCAAAGGTCCAAGTGGCTCGGATGCGAGATGACTGGTCTTTGGAGTAATCATAAGCTTTATTTCATAATGGTCCCTTTAAGGAACAGGTCCCCAAAAAAAGCATGTAAGTATGGTACAGTACCATACTTACATGCTTTTTTGGGGGACCTGTTTTTTAAAGGGACCATTATGAAATAAAGTTTAGGCTTTTTCTCCCTGGTTCCTTCAAAAGCCCAGATGCACGATCTTTGGAGGGTTTAGGCTCAAGTTTAGGGGTTTATCTAGGGTTTCGGGGTTTTGCGGTTTGGGGTGTTTAGGGCTTATAGGGTACTTGATTCAATCGTTGGGTTATTTTTATCATCGAACATTTTCATACAGAAGGACAGAGCGATGCCAAATAACTTAGGTTGTGTTTAACGGTTCTGGAAAGGTATTCTGAATGACTTATGGTCTACGGCGTCCCGGTTTAAGAGCTTAGGGTTTTATAAACTCTACGATCTAAACCCTAAACCCTAAACCCTAAACCCTAAACCCTAAACCCAGGGAGCTCTTTTTAAGCTGTCATGGGGCTTTTAATAGGGGCTAATACGGGTCCCTTCGTTTGGTTCCTTGAAGGGGGCCTGTTGAAGCAGCTCGTTTTGAAAGGTTATGCACAGCGTGCCGCAAGGGCCTAGGGGTTAAGGTTTGGGGGATAGGACGTTTAGGGTTTAAGGTTTGGGGTTTAGGGATGTTCAGGGTTTGGGGTTTAGGGTTTGGGGTTTAGGGTTTGGGGTGGTGTAGTCAGAGCCGCTTCGGCTAGGACGACCTGTAGGGCGCGCCCAGACAAACCCAAAACCCTTTAATCAAGGGATATACCCTAAATTCTAAGGGGCCTACTACTTACCATTATGTTTTATATCCACCAAAACGCTACACCCCGAAACCCCGAAACCCTTAAAC